AAAATTTGAGAATATGAAGTGATGTTTTTATGTTTTCATTTTGTATTTTAAAAAATAGTGTTTAACACCATCAACAACACATTAATTATTTTCTTTCAATTTTATTCATATTTAAATAACAATTTTTTAACTAACCAAGAAATGACATCTTTTTAAAGATATTTATTTATAAAAAAAAATAATATATTTTTAAAGAGTGTAAATAAATGATATCTTATGATTTGGGCGACGCACGCGCCGGGGTTACATCATACACAGGGCATCAACGCAACTACTCTTCGTCCCACAAAATATTGGAGCTTAAACCCCAGCAGAAAGTATTAAACAGTCTCCTGATAAATACCTCCGATGTTAGCTGCTGCTCAGGGAGAATTAACAATTGAGTTGGAGCAGCAAGAAGAATAAGAGATGGAGGCAAGTTCCGGTTATAAGGACTATGTAGCAGGCCTCATGGCCGGAGTTGCCACTGTTATCACCGGTCACCCTTTTGATACCGTGAAGGTGCATTTCTATTTTCAATTTGCCATCTTCTTTTTAACGTTGCTCGTTCATTGCATTTGGGATAAGGTTTTCCTAAATTCAGGAAGATCCACTTCTCAGTTCTCAATGCTACTTCGACGGAATATATAGTTTCTCTTTTTTAATTAAAATCTGTTTTCGTCCACTCGTTGTAATCAAGTTGCTCATCCTTGAAACTGAATATGCTTAATTAAGTGCACGTATAAACTTCTAATTCTGTTTTACTCGTTTAAAAGATATACCTGAGATTGTGCCATATCATATAGGTTATGCTTTATCAGTTGTTAGTGGTTGTAGATTGTAGTTCTGTGTGTGTCCTATTGAGATGAAGTTTAGCGAATTTAACAGCTTTGAATAACTATGAGTTTTGAAATATTTTAGCATGTATTTGTCAGGTGAGGCTTCAGAAGTACAACACTGAAGCAGGCGCAGTGAAGTACAAGAATGGTTTGCATTGTGCGACTAGAATATTACAAACAGAAGGAGTATTACTCTTTAACTTTTTCCAGATCTCTGTCTACCATTATCTATCCTGTTTGTTCAAATGTTGTTTAGCTAGGAAGTTCGGATCTGTTTACTTGGATGTTTTGGTTGTAGAACATGACACTCAAAATTATATGTCGAATTTTTCAGTTGTTTGCAATCCAGTACTTATTGTTGGATAATCCTTTTTTTCCTCTCAAAAGTAACATGCTGCTTGTATATATTTATAATGCCTGGGAGATGCACATTTGTATGTGACGTACATAGACACATGTTTATATGTGTCGGCATGCACAACAAAATTCTGGTTAACCAACTTGTATGAAGAAAACTGATATGAGGAAACAGCTTGTTTGTTGGCATCCCCAGAGTCCTGGTGTGCTGATCTTGGTTTGATCTGACAGGTTAAAGGGCTTTATCGAGGCGCTGCATCTTCCTTCATTGGCATGGCCTTTGAAAGCTCACTTTCTTTTGGCATTTATTCACAAACAAAACGGTTTCTTCAGGTTTGTTATGTGTTGATACATATTCTGCTTATTATCATTTAATTGCACTTTAATATGTTGCTTGTACAACCGATAAACTAGTAACTGCTGTTTAGATGCTTTTGCAACTACATGATGCAGGTAACTACTATTTTATGAACATCTCTTTTTTGCTTTTTTAAAGGGAGAAATAGATGGTGATAAGCCCCAGCCTCATGCAATAGTTCCTTCAGCAGCCTTTGGTGGAGCTATTATCAGCTTCATACTATGCCCGTCAGAACTGGTGAAGGTAAGGGATGCTAGAGTTCCTAACTTCCTGCTTTACTTGGAATACCATCTTTGTAATGTTGTTTTCCAGTGTAGGATGCAAGTTCAGGGCTCTGATTTTATGGTACCGAAGTCCACTAGATTTAGCGGGCCCCTTGAGTGTGCCCTTAAAACAGTTCAAGAAGAAGGGGTGAGAAATTTCTTGGTCTACGCTTCCATTTAGGCTTAAGCTGTGCCTTCAAACTGACAGAATCTCTCCAGCTTACCGGCATGTTTCGAGGAGGCCTCGCAACCTTACTGAGAGAATCTGTGGGCAATGCTGTCTTCTTTAGTACCTATGAATATACACGATATTTCATGCATCTACAGCTGAAAGGTGCTTCATCTGAGTCGAGGCAATTGATTGATGTTGGAGTTGGAATAATGAGTGGTGGTCTTGGTGGTATAGCAGTGAGTATTAGCGGTTGAAGTTAATTCCTTTTGGGTTCTGCTTACTTATTCTTTGATTAAGATACTGTTTGTACTCTCAATTTGGAAGTAACATATGTAATTACATTCGTTGTTCTGATTTTGCTTCAGTTCTGGTCTGCTGTTCTGCCATTGGATGTAGCAAAGACGATAATTCAAACTACCCCAGAGAAAAACCATTCGAGAAATCCCTTCTCGGTTCTAAATTTGGTATTTATCATAATCTCACTTTGAAATTTGAAATTCTAGAAAGTGCATGATTCAGTTAATTTTGGTAGATTTACAGGAGATCTGGACTTAGAGGATGCTATACAGGATTAGGTCCTACACTGGTAAGAGCTTTTCCTGCTAATGCAGCGGCTATTGTCGCATGGGAACTGTCTGCCAAGTTGTTGGGGATCAGGCGTGACCAATAATTTTTTTTTGATGCTGCTTATTTCTTCTGGTTGCTGCTGGTTTAAAGCTTTAGTGTGCTTTTGACAAGGTTACCACATGATTTTTTTGTCATGACATTGCTGTATTACTAATAGTCTGTCATCTGTTTTATTTTATCAGTCTTTTAGTTACATTAATTTATCATCTGCAGTTCTGAGATTTATGGTTCTGTCTTTGGTGTTCCTCTATTCATAGATTAGTTTCTTAGCTAGGATTTGTGTGGTTATCATTGTTCAAACATAAATTGGTGATATATTCAAGATTTCATTGAGATGATTAGCTGCCAGATATTATTGAAGTTTCCTATGGTTAGAGAATTAATATCGAAGGAACTAACTGATAGCCTTTTGCATAAGCGGGACTACTTGATGATAGACACCTGTCTAGAACAGTTTTATCGTGGTTATAGAAAAAAAAAAGAGCAGTTATGCCTTGCACATTTTCAGTTATGAAAGATGGCATTACTAATATGAAATTCTCCCTCATTACATTTGCCATTTCTAAAAAAATGTAATTCTCCTCATTGCATGCTGCATGAATTGGTGTATTATGCATATTCTGTGGCTGTCAAATGTAATTCAAACTAGCATTTAGCAACTTTGTTGGTCATCGTCAGCCTTCCTTCTGCAAGGAAGGATCAGATATCTGGAGCTTGGTTTATGTTTCCTCTAATAATGATCTTCCACTGCATAAATATCTTAAGAAATGATTGAGTTGTTAAATCTTCTAGGCTTTTAAATCTAGAAGATTTAACTCCTTTCCTCAAGATTTTGCAGTCTGATGTGAAAATACAGTAATATTAGACAATCTTGCGCCAGTAAGCAGCAGCAAAGAGAAGTAAATATTTTATACTTCAGATATAAAGTTAACGTTTAGGCACTGAGTGGAGACCAACATTACAAGACTCTGCAGCAACTCTTTTAGTCATAATACATAAACATATCATTAACTTGACATCATTTGACAACTATGACCCTTAACTTTAGATGTGCACAAGTAGACACTTAAACTTGTATAAAATTGAACAAATTGACACATTCATCCTACATGACAGCCTACATGAAAATTTTGTGTCCTACATGGCGTTCGATGTGTATCATGCCATGTAGAACAAGTGTGTCTACTTGTTCAATTTTATAAGTTTAAGTGCCTACTTGTGCACATCCAAAGTTAAGGGTCATAGTTGTCGACTGACGCCAAGTTAAGAGTCATATTTATGTATTATGTCATTCTTTTATGTAGGACAACTTATTTTGCTCTTGAAGAACTTGGCCCTGTGAGGTTTCAGCATATTTTTGGCACCTTCAGGTATATCATTCGGTAGATGTTAGTATAGCATGTGATACAAAGTCTATGCAGGATTGGTACTTCAACACACTGTCTTTTGGGCCTAACACAAGTCATTTTAGGGGCTAAATATTAATAAGGGGAAGAACTCCAAAAGATGTCAACATAGTTTTGAAGATATTTGGTACATGCTTTGTCCTAGAAGTTTCTCTGTTTTTCCATTGATGGCCAATTTGAAGTTTGATTGTTGCTGTTTTAAAAGAAATTGTGATCATTTGGCGTTTGTGTCTTATTGTTTAAGTTCCACTTACCATTGTTTGGTATGTTAGCGGTCTCATTTATATTTGATGATGTACGATAAATAAAATTGTAAACCGTAATACTTTTAGGGCTTGTTTGATCGGGGAACAAGTTATCCCAGGATTCATATCCCACCTTTAATGTGGGATAAAAATAACACTACAATCCCGGGATAACTAATCAGTGGATAAGTTATCCTGCAATTTTATCCCAATTAAACATGGGAATGACGGATAAACTCATCCGAAAATCAATCCCAAGATATCCCTTAACCCTCATGCCAAATGAGCCCTTACGCTTTTAGCTTAAAACCTCTTGGATCATACATTGATCTCAATCAAAACACATTTTTGCCAACTCAAACATGCCTGAGATAGGTCAAACTCTGAAAGATGCCTCAATTTAACAGGGCATGCATACTTATTTATCTCATAGAAATTATGTTTATAAACCCATTGAGAGTTGTTCTGTTCCCATAAGCCAAGAGGCATCTCAAAACATAGAACCTAACTTCTGGAAATACATGGCCCAAAGGCTTTGGTCTAGTGGTCAGAGCACAAGTTGTGATGTGTGTAGGCGCACGTTCACGAGTTCGAACCCTGTCACAGACAAAACCTGCAATTTAAATGGAGAGAAGTACAGGGAGGACCCATTATTCACCAAGTTTGGATTGTGCGCCACTTCCCCTCGGGAATTTCGTGGTTATCAAAACAAAAAAAGAAGTTATGGAAGTGCAGGAATTATAACAACAAGAGAAAAATAATAATAAAAACCTCATAAAGTGAGTTGGAATGTCAACATGGATATGCATTCATACTACAAATATTTCATTTTTCGAATACTAGCAGACAGTGCCAACGGCTTATTCTTTTTGTCCTTCCCTTTACACAAGGGAAATGAAAGTACTATTAGCTAGATACTTGAAGGTCACAAATAACAATTTGCTTAGAAATCCGGGAATTGACAGAAGATAGAGAGCATGCTTAACCCACATCTTGTTTATGTTGCTTCAGAAAGTAGGTTATTTGGCTGCCATTGATGCTGATGCTTCTTCAGCCCAAATTTTCTCCATGAGAGTCATATGTAATTTTACGGCGGCGCTCATTGTGACCTGCCAAACGCCTTCGGCAACTCCTCTTAGCATCATCAAACTCTGCTAACAGATGAAATCTGCACCTCATCATGCGAACAATTGAAAATTCACATTAAAAGCTCTGTTTTGCCCCTGCTCATTAGAAAATGATATACTCCTATACTTGGGAATCTGAAAGCAGCTGATTAGAAAATACATGAGATGGCTGTGGATGTGGCAGCAGCTACAGTTTCTTGGCTGATTAGATACACTACATACTTTCATAGGAAGTAGAATCTTATTTAGAATACCTCGTTGTCAGATGGATGAATTTGGAACAAAAAATTTGTCTGAAGGATAATCTCTGTTTGCATGTGCAAAAGTTAATTCTTTCCCTTACCAGTATTTGTCTCTCCCTTCAAAGAAAACAAAAGAATCTTTTGTATACAATTTCAGTTGGAGTAAAGCTTACCTTCTACTACCTAAAGAAGGGACGATCAAGAAGCCCTATCGCAACCATACAGACCATTCTCCATGTTAGCAATATTTATTCACATTTTTTTGGTCAACTTGAAGACCCATTGGACAGTGAGATTAATTCTAAGAAGTCATCATCATTGCTTGATTTGGCTTTTGTTCCATAACAAGGAAACCTAGAGGTTAACAACTATCTCTTAATTGGATGTAGCCATAATCTTAATAACCACATTTCAAAGTTAATAGTCTAGAAATGTCAATGGATTAATTAAAAGATCCAGTAGTGTCTTGGATTCATTGTTATATCACGATTTAAAAGACTCACTTTTGCTTTTTCACAGTTTATGATAAAATAAATGATATGCATAGGATATTGTATAAAATTGATTGTTGCTGTTGTACTTTCGTGTCTCTATGTATTAGTTTTTGCCTGTGTTATTGGTATTGGTTCTTGATATTAGGATTCCCATATGTTGCACAAAATGAATCAACACTCAAGCTTAAATTACCTTCTTCTTTGTTTATTGGCTAATTGATGTTTTGATTAATGTTCCTCATGACTTAAATCTAAGAAAAACTGTTTGATGAGTGCACATAATTAGTTTCCAAGATATCTCCACTATACAACTCGGAAGGCACGGATAATCATCAGAAATTAGGGGTTACTTACCTGCTACATTGCTGACAGAATCGCTTCTGGAGTCCACTAATAAGTACTATTGGAGACTTTGAATGGAACTCACACACCTTGTGGCGGCGATGGTATGGCTTGGCATCTGCCATATCTGCAGTGCACTGATCGACCTGGCAAGAAGGATGTGCCGACCCTTCACCAACTAGCTTCCTACCAGAGAGAGTCAATACCCTTTTTCTTTTGCTATCCTCTTCAACACTTCCATGTTCATCCTCTTCCTTTTCAGCTTCAGTAATGCTTCTCTTCCCTTCCCATTTGTTAGTTTCCATCCCTGTGAGGAGAACCTATTGGGCCAAAATAGAGTGAGGAAGCCAGATAAAAGAGTATGAAACTTGAACAAAGGTAAAAAAAGAAAGGTAAGTACGTGTGAGGACCACCAGTTCCATATTTTTCCTCCTATGTGAAGTCTAGTAAGTGTCTAAGTGGAGATGCTTTGGTGTTAAGATGAACTAAAGATTCTGATTGGTGTTCCGTACAGAAGTGGGCCAGGAAAGGTGGAATTAAATTGAAAGTTGAAACTACTACCGGCCTCAACTTTTAACATGAACTAGCTTTAATGCAGAGAGAAATGTGACCATTCCTTAACATAGTACATGAGACGTGAAGAGCATTTATGATGACTTTGCTAAAGTTCTTTTCAAGGTCTACTATTGAATTTACTCCTAGGTAGTTACTCCACTAACTTTTTGTCAAGGTTTTTTTGGGCAGTCAGTTAGCCTCTCAGCGTTCAGTATTCACTGTTTTATGATGTAAAGAAGCTGATAGAACATCCAATTTAGTGCTTGCTGGTTGGTGGTCACAAGATATTTTGACCAATTAGCCGAGGAGTTGTGTCAACCATAGACCAAAGCCAGTGGTTTGTAGTGAATTGCTCACTCTTTTCCTCTAGCTTTGGAGGGATCAAAAGAGTTTGGCACGTTTACTCTTTTTCACTTGTGATAAGGGTATGCATTGTAATTGGTTGAAGTTACTTCTTTTTCTGATATTTTCGAGTTTAATTTAAACTCCGTAATAGCCATCTAACATAGTTTATGGTAGTTCTTTATGTAGTAGATTCCGAAGGGAGTCGACTAAACTATAATTTGCACTATTATAATACTGCAAGTTGGTCTCTCAGTTGTCCATGTCGGTCCAGTAGAGTGCTCAATTGTTGCACTGGCTCTCCATTATCACTAGATGTCTAATTCATCTACCTAAATCCATCATTATCTTAGTTAACCAAAAAGGAAAAAAAACATCATTATCTTGCACAGTTACATTACTCAAAATGAATTAACAAATGACTGCAGTAACCCCTACTTGGTAGTCACTGCAGTAACCCCTACTTGGTAGTCCTTTTCAAGCAAGGAGAGTCTTGTACTCTAAACATAGTGTATTATGTTTTATTTATTGGAAGTGAACGGTATAGAATTGCATGGTTCAGTGAATCTATAAATTAGTCGTGTATGATTTTGCCGTCTAATTTTTGTGATATGGACTTTGTTAAATGGTTTTATATCATATTTGCCTTTTTTCTTCTTCTTGAGGTGGATACACTTTTGTTTTAATAATTGTGGGCACCTAGCTTTTTAGTGTCACAGCTAGGTATTAAATTGATAGTGCACTAATACAAAGACAACTCTGTTGCTATTAACCATATGAATGAAATTCCAAATTAAATTATATATCGGTAATTCATAAGTGTGTATTATTGTTTTATAGCTTAATGGTTCCCCAAAATGACCTTATTTGTATATTCCTCATTACTGCTCCCTCTCTCGCTTCGATCAGTTTTTTTCTTTCCTATCAAAAATTTTTCTATCGAGATAGGCAAGTAGAGGAAGAACTAGACGTATCTTAGTAGGCAAAGACAGGTTAGAATGAATAACTTGTGTGTAGGCAGGATGGATGGGACAGAAGTATTCCAACTATATATTCCCTTGTTGTCGAAGGAATGACAATTGACAATGAAGCGTGACGAGAACTTTCTAGGGAGGACGTGGTGAGAAAGAATAGGCAAACTCTTCAATTTTTCTTTTACACTTAAATGGAATGTACTTTATTAGCCGGTTATGGATAATTATTAGTGAAGGGAGGCTAACAAACTGATAGACAAATGACAAAGGGACTCCATGATTGGAAGAAAACAAAACAAGGTTAGGACATGGGCTGAAAAAGAAGTGAGGTTATTACTTATGAGTATAACTAATCATCATTAATAAAGAAGTAATCTTTTTGAAGGGCATAATACATGATAAGTCCCTTAATTTGTCAGGATATTCTGGTTAGATACTTCAATAAGTCTTATTTTAACTGAACACCTAAATTTCTAATAAAATGTTCCAAGTAGTCACGTTAAATTTTAAATTTTGAATGAACTTTTGCACGTGTTTTTATTTGTCTATCGCATAATTAAGTTAACCACATAAATATGTCATCTCATAATAATATGTATCAACCTCAAGAAGAAAATATTTAAAGTTTTATATCTTATTGAGGTAAATGTGTGATTAAAAAAATATGTGGTTAACTTAACAATCTAGTATAGGAATAACAACGAACCGGAAGTGTCAGATTAAAACACTTCATCAATTGAAACAACGGGTAATTCGAGTTTTTAAACAAAAGTATTCTGATAATTTTAAGGAGTTCATCTTGTATTATACCTTTTAAATCATGTAATATAGCTAGGCAGAGGTGGAACTTCCTGAAATTTCCTGTTTAGAGCCTCTAGTTCTAATTTTCTTATTTTGTATTTTAATTATGTCTGTACGGATTAACACGATACAAGATGAGGTAACATAATAAATGATAGCTGTTGAAATAACTTGTTTCTTATTACTGTTATTCTTGTAAGTGTCATTTGTGATGTAGCTAACAAAATTAGTTACAATTTGTTATGAGGTCAGTTAAAATGGAACTTTCTAGAAGTAGGTTAGCTGGACCTATAACAGTACTAGCCATCAATTATGATTAAAAAAAGATAATTCAATTTAGATTCAATGAAATAGTGATCCTCTTTTTCTCTTCCAATATCTCTGTAGCAGCTTAGAAAATTCATCAATGGTGAACTTATTCACCATAAATTCTACATACATAACTACAAATTAACATGGTATCAGAGCGGCGATCTCACCTTCAGCTGAGCTTAGGAATTTGAGTTAATCGCAATCAATTAGTTTAGGAAATGACAGGAGAACAATGTGCTACAGATGGAAGTTCCAGCTGCAACAAAAATTAATCATCATCATCCTCTCTATCTTTAAGCTTCTGATTCTCCAGACTTAGTAATAACTCCGATCAAACTCACAGGACCAGAGAACTACTCTCTATGGAGCAAATCGATGAAACTAGCACTGCGAGGCAAAGTAAAACTTGGATTTGTGGATGGAAACTGCACAAAGAGTAAGTTTAAAGGAGACCTAGAAGCGTAATGGGAAAAATTTAATGCAATTGTGTTATCATGGATAGGAAGTACTGTTACAGCTGATTTGATGCCAAGCATAGTTTATGCTTCAATTGCGAAGAAGGTATGGGATGAATACAAGGAGCGTTTTGATAGATCGAATTTGACGAGGATTTATTATTTGTGCGCAGAAATTGCTAATTTGAAACAAGGAACAGACTCTGTGACAAGCTATTATTCCAAAATGAAGAATCTATGAAACGAGCTTGATGTAATTGTTTCACTGCCTGCTTGTGATTGTGAAGAATCCAATGCTTATATAAACCATTGGAAGTCACAACGATTGTTACAGTTCCTTATGGGTCTTAATGAGAGTTATAGCAATTTGAGAAGTCACATTTTATCTCGCATTGCTAGTGTAACTGTGAACGAAGCTTATGCTACCATGGCTCAAGACGAAAGCCAAAGATTATTAGGAGTGGTTGATGCTCAGAAGGATCCTTTGACTATGATGACAGGAAGGCCACAAGGTTACAGATCTAGAAAACCTGGAGGTTCTGGAGGGTTGGTGGAACTGGAAGAGGCTATGGAGGTTCTGGAGGAGCTGGAATACCTTGTATACATTGTGGATACAAAGGTCATCTAAAGTAGAATTGTTACAGGGTAGTTGACTATCCTTCTGACTTCGTAAGTAAGAGAAAAACTTCCCAACAAAATGCACAAACACAGTCTAGTCAGGGCAAACCTACAGTCAACACTAGCACCAATACAAATTCAGAAGTTCCACAAAGAACTTGTCCAGATGCTTCCTCTTCCAGTTCAGGATCAGGTTACTTTCTCACTGAACAGCAATATCAGGAATTGCTTGGGAAGAAGGATCACACGACCTCCACTAGTGAATGTGTGTCTAACATGACAGGTATACATTCTTCACTGTCAAATGTTTTTGCATATGAATGGATTGTTGATTCTGGAGCCTCTCATCATACTATACCTTGTAATGATTTGTTGTTTGACATTAAGAAACTCGACAACCATATTAGTGACAAAGTTCAGGTGCCTACTGGTGGGAGATGTCAAATCACAAGTGCAGGGAATGCTACTATTTTTGGAACATCAAAGATACAGAATGTTATACCATTTCCTGATTTCAAATTTAACCTACTCTCAGTGTCTAAAATAACTAAGGACTTATCATGTGTTGTTCTATTCTTTCCTGATTTTTGTGTATTTCAGGGACTCTACAATGGCAAGGTCTTGGGGATTGGTAGAGAAAATGATGGGTTATACCTCTTAAAGGAACATGTCACTCCTACTACAAATACTGTCAGTTTCAAACATCAAGCAGAAGGTGTTCTTTGGCATCTCAGATTGGGACATCCTTCCTCAACTGTGATGCATCAAATTCCTTCTATTTCCAAATATGTTAGAAATAATATACAAGATAAATGTCATATTTTTCTTTTTGCTAAACATCATAGATCAAGCTTCCCTCCTAGTTCTAGTAAAACACTTGCTTGTTTTGACTTGATTCATGTAGATTTGTGGGGGGCCTATAGAAAGCCTTCATATGATAATAAATACTACTTTGTGCTATTGTTGATGACTACAACAAATATACATGGATTTGTCTGCTCCATTATAAACATGAGGTCCATATTGTCTTGAAGAATTTTCTTTGTATGATTAAAACTCAGTTTAGTGTCAATGTGAAGTCCTTAAGGTCTGACAATGGAACTGAACTCTTTAACACTCATTGCATGCAATTATTGGCCTCACATGGCATAATTCACCAAAGCAGTTGTCCTTACACTCCTCAACAGAATGGTATTGTGGAGAGAAAACATCGGCACATTTTAGAAAAGGCTAGAGCTCTTAAATTTCAAAGTGGAGTTCCTATCAGTTTTTGGGGTGATTGTGTTAGAACTTCAATGTACTTGATTAATAAGTTACCTTCTCCAGTTTTGAATGGAAAGACACACTATGAACTAATGTATGGAAAGATACCTATTCTTGACCACTTAAAGGTGTTAGGTTGTTTATGTTATGCTAGCAAATTACCTAGAAGTGACAAGTTTGGTGTAAGGGCAAAGAAGGTTGTTTTGGTTGGCTATTTTGAAACTCAAAAGGAGTACAGATTATATGATTTGGAGGATAAGAGCTTCTTTGTAAATAGGGATGTTGATTTCAGATCTTTCCTTTTAAGATAGATGTAACATCAGATTTGGACATGTTCCATGTAACTCCTATTGATCACTGCCATCCTCCTACTGCTTCCAACCCCTTAAATGTTGACAAGGACACTCAGCCTTTGCCTGACTTAGTTGACAATATGCAAGATGACACCTTGTCAGATTCTATTTTACCTCATGATGGGGGTGCAGATGGCTAATCTGGAAGATACAACAGTGCAAGATGCTGTTGATTCAATTTCTACAGTTTCTGCTCCTGCTCGCAGTAGACCAATCAGAGCAACCAGGCCTCCAATATGGCTTAGTGACTATGTTACTGTTGTTACGCCTAAATGGTCATACTCATATCCAATTTCTCAACATGTTTCTTAGGATCATTTGTCTTCCACTTATCAGATATATTTGGCAAATGTATCTATTCTCACTGAACCAACCTCTTTCAAATAGCTTCTCAAGATCCTAGATGGGTTCATGCAATGCAACATGAGATAGATGCTCTAGAAGCTAATCATACTTGGGAGTTGACTATTTTACCTGTTGGTCAGAAAACTATAGGTTCTAAATGGGTATATAAGATCAAATATAAAGCTAATGGTAAGGTGGACAAGTTTAAAGCAAGGCTTGTGGCTAAGGGATATACTCAAAGAGAAGGTTTAGACTATCATGAAACTTTTTCTCCAGTAGCAAAGATGGTTTCAGTCAGGATTGTGATCAGTGTTGCTGCATCTAAGGAATGGGATTTTGTTCACATGGATGTGAGTAATGCTTTCCTTTAAGGAGACTTGGATGAAGTTGTCTGTATAGATCTCCCTCAAGGTTTCCATAGACAGGGGGAGACTAGAGTGTGTAGGCTCTTGAAGTCTTTGTATGGCCTTAAAAATGCTTCAAGACAATGGAATATTAAACTCACATCAGCCCTCTTGGCTGACAATTACAAACAAAGCTCCTATGATCATTCATTGTTTACCAAGAAGCAAGGAACAAGTATTGTGGTTATTCTTATATATGTAGATGACCTTGTTATTACTGGAAACAATCAAGACCTTATCTATGAGGCAAAACAGTATCTCCACAGCAAATTCAAAGTCAAGGACCTAGGACCACTTACTTATTTCCTAGGGATAGAAATAATGAGGTCCAAACATAGAGCCTTACTCAATCAAAGGAAGTATGCATTAGAAGTCATTTCTAATGCTGGTTTGAGTGAAGCCAAACCAGCTTCCACCCCGTTGAAAGCTAATATCAAACTCACAAGTGTAGCCTATGATGATCACCTAGGAAATATGATTGAAGACCCTTTATTGAAAGATATTTCAGCTTATCGAAGACTAGTTAGAAAGCTGATATATCTGACTATAATAAGACCTGATATCTGTTTTGATGTACAACTTCTAAGTCAGTTCATGCAGCAACGTAAGAATTCTCATTGGGATGTAGCACTCAGGATAGTTAGATATCTCAAACACTCTCATGGATTAGGTGTTTTTTATGAAGAAAGGTTCTGAACTAAAGTTGTGTGCCTGTTGTGATTCAGACTGGGCAGCTTGCCCCAACACTAGGAGATCTGTGACAGGGTATGTTATTCAACTTGGAGGCTCATTGATCTCTTCGAAATCGAAGAAGCAACACATAGTTAGTCGAAGCTCAGCAGAGTCTGAATACAGAAGCATGGCTGCAGTTATGTCAGAAGTCATTTGGTTGATTGGATTCTTACCAGATATTGGAGTTAATGTTCCTACTTCTATAGAGCTATTCTGTGTGTTGACACCCAATTTTGACCGACCTTTAACCATTTTTTAGGATTATATTCGACTAAATACGTATTTTAAAATTTACTTAAAGTTTTGAAGTTTTAGTCGATTTTTCTCAAAAAATTATATATTTTAGTATCGTTTACTTTATAAAATTATTGTAAATATTATTTCAAATTGTTTTATAATAATTCTTCAATTATACAAAAAATATTTTAATGTATGTAGTATTTTAGAAATTATTTAAGTTCTAGCCTATTTTATTCTAATTTCTTTCAATTCTAACCACTCCAATTAAAGTTTTATTACAATCATAGCATCTTTTCCTTTCAATTCTAGCCAATTTTAATTGCAATTTTAGCCATTCCGTATATAACTCATCTAATTTCAAGAAATCATCTTTTGATCTCATCCGTCTATTTAATTAATAAATCCTAGATCAAATCCTAACCCTTCATCTCTATCTAAATCGACGGTTGTGATTAAATCTCCATTCTCTTTC